CCTTGACCCCTGACCTTCTACTAAATTTGCCTTGCCCGTTCCTAACCTGGAATCTGGCTTCTTGCTCCAAGGCTGGCCAGCTCTGGTTTCTAACCTGAGTCTGGTCTCAGGCAGCTTGGCAATCCTTTCCCAATTCCCCAGGCTGACCTTTTCCTTTCCCTATAGCAACCGCTCCAAACAAGATTCCAGCCTCCCCTCTGCCCTCCTGACTTGCGGCGGTCAACTATTCCTTCAAAATACAGGGAACCGTGAGACCATTGGATAAGAACTTCAACTTTGAAGGAGGACAGGCTAGCTAGCGTCTCTGAGTCCTACTAACCTCTGCTTCAAAATGGACATTGTTGCTTAGAAGGTTCTCGGACATCTGCTGTCAGCTCTCCCTGCCCTCCCCCGCCCAGCCTCCTTCCTCACAACCTCAGAGGATGATTGTTTGCTTTTCCCTGACATATTTACCCCTTCCTTCCCTGCCCTCACTACCTCTGTTGCTCAAAAGCGTTCAGAGGAAACCAGGCACAACATCAAGCAGTAATGAGTCACCAGAATCAGGTTATAAAGGGCAAACTTTGGCGTCCTGAACAAGGCAGAAGCAGCCCAATGACCAGAGCTGAAGCGGAGGTCAGAGCCAGGCCCGCCCAGCAAGAGTGGCCAGAGGCCAGTCCCTGAGGGTAACAGTGCAGCTCCTGGGGGTCAGGGCTGGCTCCCTGGCCTGGAGCAGGGAGAGGTCCGAGTGGAAGAACATGTGGAAGGGAGGAAACGGGGTGGGGGGCGCAGGAACCACTCCGGGTTGGCAGGAAGCGGACTTGGTCATCGCGTAGCACCCCCTCCACCTCTCGTTGGGAATACTCCTCCTCCAGGCAGCCCACTTCATGTTCAGGAGGATTTTCCTTTTTGAGTCTAATTCTGTTGTGCCCTCTGAGGCCACCCAGAGGAAGTCTAGAGTGGCGGTCTTTTTGATAGAATGGCCCTGGAAAGGTGTGATAACACTGATCAGGGAACACCTCTTTTCTTGACGAATTATCGGGTTCCTGCAGTACGTCCTTGGGTGAAACGGCCTGGAGAGCCCTACACCATGCTGGATGCTCCCCTGGGAACATGTCCACTTTGCCAGGGCCCACCTTAAGCTGCTGGGCCGAGAACGTCACCTTGCACTTGGGAGCTCTTCCGGGCACAGCACAGCTACCATCAACACCATTCTGGTCAACAGAATGAAGAGCTTTCAAGATCATATTTTTCTTCTTGGCACCCGTGTAGACTCACACTGAGGTGGCCTTTTCGACAAGCAATGGCATAGGAATTGAGGTCAGAGGTCAGTGAGACCTTCCTTACAAAGCGGATCAGCTTGCACTCCAGTCTTCCATGCCCGCCCCGGGCCTGCGGCCCATCTCAGGGCAAGTCATGTAGCAGGGTAAGTGAATCAAACACATGTCCACCCCTCCTGCTTCTTGTGTTTTTCCTTCTTTTGATTCCACTCATTTTAAAGGTCTCAGCCCTGAGCTCAACAAAGCCCTGGATTTCGGCTGGTCCTGCCCCCACTCCCCCGGCCATGAGGACCTACTGCCTTCTGCTGCAAGCTGCCCTTCCTGCTAGTGAATCTGCAGTGCTCTGGAGTGTTCGTCTGACCTTCCTCCAAGGACCCCCACAGCTCCCAGCTCGGGCAGCTGAGCCCCTGACCCTGGAGGGTGGAGACTCCGGGTCCTGCCACTCTGGGATGAGCTGGCCACTCGGGCAATCCAGGGACTGGAGCTATGGCCACATCTGCGCTGGAGTAAGTGGACACCAATTAAAGGATTATAGGCTACAAGGAGCCACTCCTGATTCTGGTTTGATTGGAAGGGGAATTGGGGACTCAAGCATAGAGCTGCTCCAGCCAGGTGCCCTTCCCTAATGCACCTACTCTGATTCCACATCAGATTGCAGGAGTCAGGAATTTCTGCCACAGATGTAGGCCCTGTCCAGAATAAAGCAATCATGAGATGAGAGGGTGATTCTGTGGTCAGGGGGCAGCAGTTGTCCCTCGGGCCCAGGACACAAGCTCCACACCCTCAGAGAGACCTGGGAAAGGCCCTTCCCAGCCCAGGCCTCCCAGCCCAGGCCTCTCCTGGTCTTCTTGCAGGGCGAACCAGTTCTTTTTCCTCCCCTACAAGTCTTTCTCTAAGGACCCTTCTGTATCTAAGCCAGCCCTCTGCAGCTACATCTTCTCTCTCTTTTTTTTTTTTTTTTTTGGCAACTGTTACTACCTGTCAGCAACAGCGGCCACAACTGGCTGCAAGGAGTGCTCACCCAAGGGGCGCCACCGACAGATCATTTCTGAGCTTGCTGGCACCCACCACGCTTCCTCCTAAAGGACTGCTCCTAGTGTGTAAGCCCATCGCCACCACCACCCTCACCCGCCCAAAAAGTCAAATGCCATCTCCAGGCTCTAAACCCTCTACCTGTCCAAACTCTCCTGCCTGCCCTCCACAACTTTCTACCCTTTCCTTGCTGTCTGTCCCCTCCCCACTCCCTACCTTGTCTGTCATACCCTTTCCCTGTTTGGAAATCACATTCCAGAACCAGCCTAGGGTAGAAATGTGAAGCCTCCATCTCAGGCAAAGAGCTTCTTAGGAAGCAAAACCTACCCTCCTTCTCAGATACAAAAAATATTCGGCCCCGTCTATGCACAGTGGGTCCTAGGGAGAAATTCCAAGCAAATCGGTGTAAGGACCAGAAAACCCCAGAGGAAAATAGGAATTGTATACAGTGTGCCCTGGGCTATCACTGAAAAAGGGAGGCGAGAAACAGATCTTCCCAGTTTAATGAATGAACACCCTACCAGAGAGGAGCTTAACCACTCTTCAGACATCAAAGGCATGATCAACTATCCCCACCTTCACAGAAAGTAGAGGCAAAAGCTGTGGGACTAAGTTGTAGAAGCAAGATCTAGTAGATTTTAGACTATCACTATGTATATACAAATACCATACCCACCCATGAAGTGAGATGGTTCTGCTGGTCCTCTGTCACTTGAGCACTCACGAGGATGGGGGCTTTTCCCACTTAGAACTGACTTAAATAGCTTTATCATATCCTTTTGCCCCATTTTCAATACAATCAGTTACATATATATTGACTTTTTTCACTAAAAACTCAACTTCAATTTGCAATAATAAATATTATAAAAAAGAAAAGCATTTTAAAAGGCCAATGCATAATACAATGAACTAGCTCAAGAATTCATCTGGACCCAGGTCCCTAATGAAAAGATGCATCTTAAGATGCTTTTAAATTATCAAGTAAACAGACAGTTCAAACTTGGAAAGGCCTGACAAAAGCCAAAAGAAATAGGTACTTATCAAAGAGCCAGAACTCCATCTGAAAAAGCATAAATCTGATGCAGATTACAATGTAAACAAATGCAAATGAAAGTGATAACTACCCTGGGGGCAGGGGGTAGAGGGGGATCATTTCTATTTCTGTATACGGCTAGACCAAAAGTCAATAAATAAAACAATTAAAGAGGAGAAGAAATCCGATTAAGAGTTCTTGCCTTTAGGGAGGTCTCCTCTCTTTTGGCATAAACATAAGGAACAAGAAGATAAAATCTAGCCAGGCTCAGGATCCCCAGAGTTTTAAGCCAACACCCTCCCCCCTATTTGACAGATGGGAGTACAGAGGCCAAGAAAGATCAAACAACTTACAGAGCTCACATTGGAACCCAGGGCTTCTGAGTTCTAGTCACTGGTTTTCTTCATGTTATCGCATTGCCAGGGAGTTTAGTCAAGAAAAATAGGGATAACCCCCTGAGGAAATAATTCTGCAGAGGCAAAAAGCTGTATACGCAGGCCTCTTCCCTGCACTCATGAAGTGGGAAATTTAAATGTTAAACAGGAAAGGGGTAAGTACATTATGTTGATTTGAAAATGATTACAATAATTGACAATGGGGATTTAGGGGCTTTGTAGAGACATGGAAAATGTCCAGATATAATGTTAAGTAGAAAAAAGTAGGGTACTGGGTGCCTGGGTGGCTCAGCTGGTTGAGCGTCTGCCTTCAGCTCAGGTCATGATCCTGGGGTCCTGCATCAGGCTCCCAGCTTCTTCTTCAGCCTCTGCCTCTGTCTGTCTCTCATGAATAAGTAAAATCTTTAAAAAAAAAAAAAAAGTGCTGTACAAAATCAGAGGCAGAGTAGTGCTAGTCACACCTGAATGAATCCCAGCTTTGCCCCCTATGAGCTCTGTGGCCTAGGGAAATTACTCAACCACTCTGAACCTCCAAAAGAATAGCAGTATCCACCTCATAGGATTGTTTTGTGCCTACATAAGAGAATGAATGTGAGAATCACACCTGTCATGCAGAAATGTTCCACTTCTGTTATTATCATAATGATATTTATCTGTGAACTGAGCAAGAGTCCAGTTGGAAAAGCAGTTGGAAAGGACTGGAAACTGATATACAAAAATGAAAACAACTGCAAAAGTAGGATGGAATTATAAATACGCACGTTTTTTAGTTTCTCTAATAATGCGATGTCATTTTCCAATGAGAGAAAGGCATTTTAAATAGGGACCTCGAAAAAAAAAAATAAATAAAAAATCCTATTCTTGGGACCTGGCTCTTTCAGTTTGCTCTTTCCTCCAGAGGGGCTCAAGGCTCCCAGCACCTAGTTTCCTAAGACTGCTGTGGCATCTGTTGGTGGACAAGGTCAAGAACAGCCTGGATCCCTTGGAAAAGATGAGGGTGGGGTGGAGGGGTGAGGACACAACACATTCTAGAATCTAGAACATCCTGCTTTGCTCAGAGCAGACCCTGAGAGAACTTTGTAGCTACCAGTTGAATTAGATTCTTTCATTCACGTGTGCATACGTGCATGCATTCACTCACTCATTCGAACACTCTTTGGACTGCTACTGTATGCAAGGAACTGTGCTAGGAGCTTTTAAAGAATTAGACTGACCCACTGGATGAATGTGGAACAATCTCCATTACGTAAGTGAAAAAAGCAAGCTTCAGAACACTGTGCATAGAATGCTACCATTTGTATTAAAAATAGATATATAAATACACATATTTATAAACTTGTAAATGCATAGAATTGCTCAGAAAGGGTACACAGGATCTAGATAACAGTGATTAATTCTGGAGGCAGGCTGGGGAACTGAAGGCTGACCTCCAACAGGAAGCTTACTTTGCACTGTATATTCTTTTGTATGGTTTGGATCTTACCATGTATATGTATTAATTTTTCAAGGAAAAAAAAAACAGTAACGAAAAACTTTTAAAACAAGTAAAAGAAAGTGCGCCCAGAGCTGAGTACACAGTGGCGAACAGAGCAGGCAGGGGGTTCCTCTGTCTCGGGGAAGGCAAAGTCTGTTGAACTTGCTAAGCCACAACTGTTAAGTTTTCAAAACCAGACTGTTTACATAAGTTAGGGGAACAGTTCTTTCTACACCAATTATAGTAATTCGGCACATCGTTGTACAGAGATAAAGCAGTTGGAAAATAAATACTAGTCATCTGTCAAGCCTGAGAGTGTATTCAATTGTAGTTTTCTACAAGGGTTGGGAGCTTATCTGTTTAACTTGATCAGTAGAACATTCACTCCAGCTAACGGGCACATAAGCACTTGTTACAGCAAGCGTTTGCTGATGATAACAAATGATAGGATAGCACACCCATTATAAACATCTTACGAAAAGAGCAGAAGATATTGGACTCTGAGGGAACCATGTTTTCTGGGATGCCCCCGCAAAATGATGGTCTCAAAGGCAAGGTCAACCCCAAGGTAAGTGAAAGGTCAGGGGAACACCTCCTCTGCTTCAGACCGTTGCGCACGGATGTTTCGCGCAGGGTTCTCCTCGGGCTGACGAGGCACAGACGGACTCCAAGGAGAACCTGGCGCTCCGGGGGGCACCCCAACCACCCGGGAGGTAGGAAAGCCGGTGTCTGGGTGGCTGCAAAGTGCTGACAGGCTGGGAGCCAGCCAAAGCGGCCGGGCCACGAAAACAGCACGGGGGTGCCGCCGTGGACTTTAGAACCAGACGGGCCTGACTCGCCGCCGGCACGTACCGGCCGCCCCGCAGGTTCTCTGTTCCTCTCCGTGAGATGGAGGAGGGGTAACTGGGAGATCCTCGTGATTACGAACATCACGGCAAAGTCTCTAGCAAGATGCAGGCCGCGCAAGCAGGGCCCACGTGCTGTTTGTTGGCGTCACCACGGCCGCAGCGTGGCCGGGCCGGCGGCATCCGCGTCCACACCCACGTCCACGTCCACGGCTGACGGCTGGGAGGGGGAGGGGGGTGTGCACTCCACCCCCCGACCCCTCCCCGCGCGCCCTAAAGGCAAGAATCCCTCACATGTCTAGGGCGCCTCCACGCTCGCTCGCCGCCTCACAAAGCCCGGGGAGCGAGTTGCATGGGAGTTACTAGGACTATTTGGAAGGGGGGAGGGGGGCGGCGGTGAAGTGAGGGGGTTTGTTAAGAGCCGGTTAAGGGCAGAATCCAGGCTGTGCCCCAGGTCTCCCGGTGAGTAGCTGGACATTCTTTCCACTCCGCACCATTCCCAGGAAAGAGCGGCGGACCCGGGTCGGCGCGACGGTGCCCAAGTTCACCGTCCCCGTCCCTACTCCCCCTACTTGCTGCTCGGGAGCAGGAAGAGATCCGACAATCCATCCCAAACCCTTCTCAGAGCCTCCTCGGCAGTGTTCCTGTGAACGGACCATGCGGTGCGGGGTGGGCACCTGCAGTGGAATTAGGAAAGGGACCACAGCCAAGATGCGGGGAGCTCAGGCCTTGTAGGCGGCCTCACCGCCTCCTTGGGACAGAGAGACACGGCGGCCTTGCCAAGTGTAGCAATCCTTAAACAGTAGAGTCTGACACTGAGGCGAGCCCTAAGCGTTCTCAGGGCCATGAGCATTTCCACTCAAAATCTGGCATTGGACGAAAAGAGAAAATGTACTGTTTTTTCTGTTGCGGAAAGGTCAGGTGTATTTGACTGACTTAACAATTTACAATCGCTATTCAATGCCTTCCTTGAAAGAGCACCTCTAAGAACTCAGCCAGCACCCACTTGCCTTGGCCGCACTAGATCCTGCCGGGCCCAGTGGCACACCCCGGCCGTGCAGGGCTGCAGTAGCAGCCTGGGTCGGAGGTCAGAGGACACCTCCACACGGCCTGCCCCTTGGGCTTGGTCAGGCCCGAACTCTGCCGCCGGTGGAGAGACAGCCCAGCCTCCCCTAACCCAGATCCTGCCGCACCCGAGAGCTCCCGGTGGGAGCGGCAACACCGGGACCTCTGCGAGATAATCCTAGAATTCCTCCCCTCTACCCCTCCCACCACCACCACCACCGGTAAAGGTTCTCTTAGGAGGAAAATCCATTTGTAGGAAAGATGGGGGTGCCCAGAACATTTCAATAGGCCCTAAGCCAAAGCCGCTAGCCCTGGGGAGGCCTTGCAGGGGCCTTTTGACCAGTATTAGGACCCAGCCCTCACGCCCTTAGGAGGTCTCTAGAGGACCGAGGACCGAGCTCCTGGTTTCCTAAGCACAGCTCCAGAATCTAGAGCGGACCTTCCTCGGACAGTAGGCACCGTTGCTCTCCCTCAGAGACGGGACAGTGAGGGAAGTCTGGGAGAGACTGAAGTGGAGCAGGGTAGGGCCAGGCTCACCTGAAGAGGAATACAAGAGCCCACCTGCATGGTCAGAAGATTTTTTTATTTGAAATATAGTCTGAGCAACATGAGTGTAGCCAGAGGAGGAGGGGCTGACCTGCCTGAGGCAGCAGCCTCTCTAACGGCACAGGAGCGAGAGAACAAACATTCCAAGGTCTGGGTGACCCCGGCCCCCGGCCCCCAGCCCCCGGGCAGCACAAGGACGCACAAGGACGCACAGCGCCTCCGGCCGGGCTCCGCCTCTCGCGGCCTGCCTGCCCTGGCGCGCTGCCCGCTCTCCGATCCGAGCGGCGAGGGCGGCGCTGCAGAACTCTCTCCCACCCACAGACAGGAGGAGCCAACGTGACAACTCGTTCTCCAGGACTATTTCGGGGGAGAAAGAGTCAGAGAAGACAGGAAGGAAGGCAAGGTGATCAAGGGCCCTCACCGAGCCGGCCCGGGTGGAGCTCTCCGAGGGAGTGCGCCAGCACCCTCAGCCCTTCTCCGGCTCTGCGGGCAGGAAGGAGAGCTCCGAGGAGACCCCCGGCTGAGGGCAGCACCCGGGAACCTCCCAGAAGAGCACAGCGCTGAGGGGCTTCAAGCCGAGTTGACAGCGTTGGGGCCGGGCCACGTAAGCAGCCTGGGGTTGGAAGGACACGGACAGGAGTTGGGGTACCAAGAAGCAGCACAAAGCCATAAATAACAGAAGCAGATTCGGAGCTGTGAGGGTCCTGGGCGGCGACCACACATTTCCCGGGGCTGGGGGACACCCGGGGCCCGCAGCTCAGGGCAGACACTGCTCCAGGGCACAGCCGGCCACACTCCACCGGCGCGGGGCCTCCTCTCTCCCACTGTCCCCGCGGCGGGCAGGGGACGCCGTGGCACCACCCCGACCGCACGCACTGCAGAGCCTCCGGTCACAGCTGAGGGGACGGTGCGTGGCTGTCCTGGTCCTGAGAGGCCTGTGGGTGACTCTGAGCATCCTGGGCACCGTCCTCCTCAGAAGCCGGGCCTAGTGATCTCGCCTCTGGGTCGCCCAACAAAGGCTCTCCGGCACATTCCTCCAGTCCGTTCTCCCTGGTCTCCATGGACACCTCCTCCCCGGAGCCCTCGTCTGGCTCCGCCTCCTCCTCCTGGTCTCTCACCTTGTGGACGATGAAGAGGTGGCGGCTGAGGGAGCCGGCAGAGGTGTAGCAGAGGCCACAGAGGAGACACTGAGCCGTGGAGCTGTCCGCCTGGTGCTGAGGTATGTGGCTCTGAAACTCGAGCCCCGAGTCTGTGGCAAAGCTGCATTTCGCACACTGGAACAGGGACTTGTGCCTTTTGGTAGAAGAGACCGCCGCGCCATTGCTGCTGCCCGGAGCGTCCCCGGCTCCGCTGCCTGGTCTCTTCAGATGGCTCACCTGCAGGGGAGACAGCGTGAGCCGGGCCGCGGCCCAGGCCGGAGCCCCACACCGGGACGCGCAGAACCGCCGCCGGGCCAGGCTCGGCCCCGCCCTGAACCGCGGCTCTGCATCTGGTGCCTGTCAGGGTCTCCCGCGTGCTCTTGTTCTGTCTCATGTAACGGATGCATGTGGTGCCACAGCCCAAAGCTATGGGAAGGGCAGAGAGAAGATGAAGTCCCTCTCAGCCCACTCCCCAGGCCCACTCTCCCTGAGGTCCCTCCCAGAGACCGTCTGTGCACGCACAGAGAGACAGCTGTCGTCTTTGACAAAGTGAGAGCATTACACGCACACTCTCCTTCACCCTGCTTTTTCCAATTAAGGACGTGTTGGCCGCGGTCTCTGTGAGGGTTCGTTCTCCTAAGAGCGGCACTGACGCGTCAGAGGGGTGAGGGGTGAACGGTCCCCTCTGGCCGACACGGAGTTGCGCTCCCTCATTGCTTACGGCACACAGCCCTGCAGTGCGGTGCACGGACCTCTTCAGGCCCCAGGCCAAAGATGTAGGACAGATAAATCCTAGGGACAGAACTGCTGGATCAAAGGGCATGTGCATCTGGAGGGGGGTGGGGTGTGCATCTCAATCACAGACAGATGTCGCCAAAACGTCAGCAGATGCCCCACCTGCTGTGTGTGAAAGGGCTTCTGCCGACCAACGCCCTTTTCCCAGTAGCCAAGAAGGAACGCCCTGGAACTCCAGGCAGCCCTCAGAATTTCCCAGACACGACTGACTCTCTGAGGAGCAGCCCTCCCTACCATGGGGTGGGAAGAGCCTGCCGTGAGGAGGGGAAACCACGCTGTTCCGGAAGTTCACCAGAAATGGGACGAGGGCATGGAACGGGGATGATGTCGTAGAACGAGGGTCAGGATCCCAGGAGTCTAGGCTTGGCTCCTCCCGGAACGAGTGTGCATGTGTGAGAGAGACACACACACGCACGCACGCGTACACACTCAGGTGAGCACTGCCATCCTCAGCCCCGCTTGCACCACCCCCCCGGGACTAGAGGGGCGGCCTCAGGATGGCATGTGTGAATCCACTCCAGGGTCCACACAACAGGTCACATGGCTAAGGAAGGGATCACAGTGACAGGGAAGCCTCGGAAAAAAAGGCTAGCGGGCTGTCTCCCAGGGCTCTGTCCCTGTCCTTTACCTGTGTGCGGTCCCCAGGTGGGTCACACAGGACTGGAGAATGAGCCACAGTGAGGGAAGCTGTCACTGCTGCTTGCTCAAGGGGCTCACGGAGCGGGCCGCTCCAGGGGCAGGGCCGCACTCACCTGAGGGGAATGTCCGCCCGGAGGTCTGACTTTGGACGTCTGGCTCAAATCAGGGCTTCTGATACCATGCATAAGGCTGATGTGGCTCTCCAGGAGGGAGGGCCGAGGAAAGCTCGGGCTGTCCTCTGTGCAGTACCTGCGGGAGCACAGCCCGAAGACAGGGTCTGAGACGACAGGCCCCAGGGAGCCCAGCGGGGCCGCACGCACCCGGCAGGGAGGCGAGGTGCACGCTGCTTCTGGCTCCCGGGCAGAGAGTCTGGAGCAGGCGGAGAGCTGGCTGGGGGGGGGGTCATCAGGCTGGCCGGGTAGTGCTGGGCACTCCCCAGAGACATGGAGCTGGCAAGCCAGCCACGGTGGCAGACAACAGCAAGTCAGAATATTTGTCCTGGCCCTGAGCCATGATCTCCGCTCCCTGATATCACTGCCCAGAGGCCCAAGGGCTGGGCTGGCAATCAGCAAGGAAGAGGCCAGGGTGTGTCTGAAGCACAGACACGACGTGGAAGCCTCTTGGCCAGACAGGGCACATGGTCCCAGCACCATCACCATCGCTCCTCCCAAACCTCAGGGCTGGTAGCGCTGAGCAGCAGTGCGGCCCAGGGTGGGGGAGGTAGGAAGGGGGAGGTTCAGGGGCCACCAGCGGCTAGAAGCTGGTTCCCGACCGGCCCTGCCTCCTGACTGAGCATCTGTCCATGAGAAGCTCGCTGCTCTCTTGCTTCCGACCCCAATCTCACAGCAGAGAAAAGCCCCAGTGGTGCCGGCGACAGCCTTTTTGAATTTCGGGCCTCCTGGCTCCCACCTCCAGGCACTCACCCACAAGTATAGACTTTCTTCACTGTGTCGTGGTTGTTGCGGATGTGTTTGCGCAGGCTGTTGGGGGTGTGGAAGGACTGTTCACACTGACGACAGGGGTACCGCTTCAACGTCTACGGGAGACGACAGGACGCAAAGCATCAGAACTACAAGGCCGTTGCCGAGGCAGCTTTCGACTCGGGCCATGGAGGTGGAAAGACCTCAGGATCTGTGGTACCCACCCTGCCCGAGGCCGGGGGAACCCTAAGGGGCCAGCCACATAAGGGGGCTCTGACCCACAGGACAGAAGTCCAGAGTCTGGCCCTGCCTGGTGACCACGTGAGGACACTTACCCGACCGTGGCTCTTCTTCATGTGGGACACATAGTTCTCCCGATCAGGAACCCACTCCTGGCACTCCTGACAGGTCCAGCCAGTGTTCCTCAGCCGGGGCCTGGCCTCAGCCCTGCGATGGGCCTCAGGCCTGCCCCAGCGGCTAGAGGACAGGGAGCTGCCCCGAGCGGCCACGCTCGTGGCTGGGGGCTCGGTGGGAACTCGAGAGCCAGGGCGGCTTGAGGACGTGTCCGATGAAGACTGGAGGCTTGACAGCTCGTCCACGTTTCGGGGAACACCGTGGGTGCTCTGGGGATGGGGAGAGCGATTACTGACTGGGCAAGGGGAAAGATGCACAGAGTCAGACCCCCGGCCTGAGGCGCGTGCCCTCCTCCCCAGCCTCCTTCCCCAGGGCACCCCACCTTGACATGCTGCATCAACTCCGGCTTCTGCAGAAACAAGAGTGGGCACTCGGGGCACTTGAAGACGCCCACCTGCGTCTTGCTGGCATTCTGGTAAAAATGCTGCTGAATGTGCCTCTTCTTGTTGAAGACCATTTCACAGGAGCACTTATAAATGAGCCTGGAGAGACAAGGCCCAGGGTGTGAGGTGGCCAGGCTCTGTGCGCAGAACCTCCACCCCATCTCCGCTCTCTCTGAACCAGGGTCGGGTTTGGGAAAGCACTACTCTAAGCCGACGTGGCTACTCCCCTGCCTCGGGATGCCTTCAGTGAACCCCAGGCATCTCCGCCGCCTGCCGCGGCTCCCTGGTCTGTCCCAACACCTTCCGCGGTACACCCGAGCCACTCCGCTCCGGCCCACAGGCCTGCCGGCCCTGGGGCTCACTCACTGGGAGGGTCTGTGAGGCTGGGTGGGGTGCTGAGTGGCGCTGTGGTCCGCGGTGCTGCTGGCAGTCTTGAAGGCCATGGGGCAGAATGCACATTTGTGGAAAACCTGGCAGTGTCGCTCCTGGATGTGGCTTTTCAGCAAGGCCAAGGTCAGGTGGACGACCCCGCAGTGGATGCACCTGGACAGGAGTGGTGGGGTGTGGGAGGCGTGTCAGACCTGGAAGTAGTGCTGGAAGAGGAGGGACGGAGGGCAGGAACAGAGCCAGCTCGGGGGCCCTCTCCCCCCGTCCATCCTCCACACGTACATCCTGAAGGCCTGTCTGCCACCGTCTGGCACAGTGCGGTCACCAGGGCCCCCCAAGCCCGAGGCTATACCTGGGAGAGAAGGGGGAAGAAACCCACCCCACCCCTCACTGGCCAGAGAGAAGCTGGTGGGAATGGAGAGGGAGGGGAATGCTTCCAAGACGACATAAACAAAACCCTCCGAAGTGCGACACCACTGCGGGGGTCCAAGAGGAAATTTCAGGAGGAGGCCACGGAGAGCGTGTGCCTTCCCACAGGCTGGTAGTGAGTGGGCGGGGATGGCCACTGACGCAAAGTGCGGTTAGGAACCGCTGCGCTCGCCCCAGCCACAGGTACAGTAAAGCACGCAGCCTCAAAGCCCTGGAAGGAATCCTCCCGAGAGGCACTGTCCAGGGGAACTTGTGGTGACAGCAGGTATGTTCCGTACTGTCCTGGCCACGTGGCAATTTAAATTAATAAAATACAATGGCCAGTCGTACTGGCCACGTGTCTGACGTGGCCGGTACCGTTCTGGGCCACGTAGCTCCGAAGTGTCGGAGCACCTCCCTCATGGCACCGCGGATAACTTTTTACTTCTTTCTCCCCCAGGTTGTATTTTCCGAGCTTTGTTTAGCAGATACATCACTTGTAGCATGTATGAACTATCTTAAACCATTTTTTCCTGAGACTGAGGCATGTTGGACTCTTCCGTCAACTTCACAGTCTCCCTCTATAAATCTGGCCTTCCCTTTCCTCAGTCCCATGAGCCTATGTGACCTCCACGCCATCCTCCATCCACTCCGGGACCTAGACTAGACTAGACCCTGTCACACATTCGTTTTTTTCCTCCTGCCTACACACACACCCCCGTCTCCCCTCTGTGAGAAAACACCTTCCCTGCGCCCAGCCATGCCCCTCGAGGTAACTTTGAGCTCCCTTTTGTTGCAGTATTGCCTGAACCCGTAACCCTGACATCCCAGTAAGCACGAGAGGCTGTTGCTTTACTGAAGAAAAGGACATGCCTTCACTTAAAAATTCTTTGACTCCCAAATACAGCCCTTCTATTCACTACATGAGCCCGTTTTCACAGTCCACCTACATCATCACAGAATCCTGCCTGGTCTTTTTTTGTTTTGCCTCCTTTTCTGTGTATTGGGGGGTGGGGGGGGTTGGAGATGGAACCCCCTTTGCAAACGTAATTAGCTACGAGGAGCAGCCCACAGAACCAGAAAGCTGTTTGCAATGACCTCTGATGTGCACTCATTACTAAATTTGTACATGCTTTAGAGTTTCTATACAAGCTACTCAATTATATTTTCTTTTCTCTCCCACTAAACAAAATAGTGACCAAGCTCCAGCACATAGAAGTACTTCTACACCACAAGGTATTGTGAGGAGAAAATAAAATCTACATATTTCCACATTCATCCAAAGTGGTCAAGTACACCTGATGTGTGTAAAGAATCTTAAGTGGCCTTATTTGTGCAGTCTGACCAAACTTCAGCAGGGGCAATATAAATATACTCTTCAAAACTGCGGCTAAAAACCCATTCTATGTACTGAAGAGACATTCTTCAAAGAAATCTCACGGAAAGTGAGAACATAAAGGGGTAAAAGAACACACACCAAGTCAGTGAAAGACTGAGTCAAGTATGGTTTACAAATTGATGAAAAAGCGTGCAGAAGAGAAATCTGACCCCATGACACAACTCTTTACCAATTTTTTAAGAGAAAATACACAATTATAGAATCACATGCTATGAAATACATAAAGTTTTAGAAAAGACAAAGAGGAGTAAAATACTTAATTGTCCTAATAATCACAAATAATAAAAAAATAACATATCACTAAGAACAGTCTAAACTTGCTCCTTTATGACATCCCTGGCCACTCTCCAAACTTTCAACAAAGATCAGAATAACTTACACAATTCTGAAATTTATATATAATGTATGTACACATTTTACATGAAATACATACACATAAAATATATATAAAATGTACTTTGACTATGTCTTCAAGAAAAGCAAAAATAACACAAAACAAAGTAAGACTGTAAGACTCTGTAGTAGAACTCAATGAAACGGAGCATAGGTACACTCTGAGAATTCACTGAAAAGTAGAATACCCACAGAATGGGAGGAAATATTTGCACAACATGCATCTGACCAGGGACTTATATCCAGAATATACAAGGAACTCTCATAACTCAACAGTAAGATAATAAATAACCCAATTTAAAACTGGGCAAATAGACATTTCTCCAAAGAAGATACCCAAATACCGAACAGAAAAGATGCTCAACACCGTGAGCCATTGGGAAAATGTAAATCAAAACCATAACGAGACGCCACTTCACCCCCACAGGGACGGCCATCAGCAGAAGTCAGACAGTAACAATGCCAGCAAGGATGCAGAGAAATAAAAAATCTCATCTGCCCGCTGGCAGGAACATAGAAATGGTACAACCACTTTTGAAAACAGTCTGGCAAGTTCCTCAAAAAGTTAAACAGAGTTACCAGTTGATCCAGCTCTTCTACTCCCAAGTATCTACCCAAAAGAATGGAAAATATGTGTCCACACAACTGATGCATGAATGTTCATCAGGGGCATTATTCATAACGGCCAAAAGGTGGAACCCCAAGTGTCTATCAACTGGTAAACGGCTGAGCAAACTGTGGTATCTACAGACAGGGGAATATCATTCAGCCGTAACAAAGGAGTGAAATGCTGACATATTACAATAGCGATGAATCTTGGCTAAGACTACATATTCTATGATTCCATTCCCGTGAAATGTCCAAAAGAAGCAAATATCTGAGGCAGAAAATAAATCAGTGGTAGCTGAGGGATGGGGGAATGGAAGGGTTATGAATATAGAGTTTCTTTTGGAATGATGAAAATGTTCTAAAATTGGTTGTGGTGACTGAACAACTCTGTAAATACACTAAAAACCATTGAATTGTACACATTACGTGGGTGATTGTATGCTGTGTGTCTAAATAAAGCTGATACAAAAAAATATATGTGAATAGCTGAAGATCTTAAGCACAACCAATACCGTACTAGTGTCTCTGTCCTCTCAGTTCAACCACGGGCCACTGAAGATTTTAATGTCAAGATCTCCAGTAAGCCCTCTGGCTGAATCACATTACATTTTTCTCTAACATGCCTTACAAAAAGGCTTGACAGGGGCATCTGGGTGGCTCAGTTGCTTAAGCATCCAACTCGTGGTTTCAGCTCAGGTCATGATCTCTGGGTCCTGGGATCGAGCCCCAAATCCGGCTCCCTGCTTAGGGGGTAATCTGCTTCTCCCTCTCCCTTTGCCCCTCCCCCTGCTCCCTCTGTCTCTCTCTCTTAAATAAATAAATCTTTAAAAAAAAAAAAAAAGGCTTGACAAAGTGAACTGCTTTTGAGACACTATGTTTCTTTTTATTCTTACAGATGAAAGTAAAATAAAATACTAAATTAAAAGACCAAGGCGCCCAGGTGGCTCAGTTGGTTAAACGTCTTCCTTCAGCTCAAGTCATGATCCCAGGGTTCCTGGGATTGAGCCCCACATCGGGCTCCCTGCTCAGCGGGGAGTCTGCTTCTCCCTCTACCCCTCCCCCTTGCTCATGATCTCTCTCTCTACTAAATAAATAAAATCTTAAAAAAAAAAAAAAGAAGACAAAAAAAATGCTATGAATCTATCTGTGTCATTGGAAATTCCCTGGATTCAAAATTCAAAGATTAAAAATTTAAGTACTGCTTGCATTTTTAGTGGATTGGACTTGATCTTGGAACTAGCAGCACACGCTTAAGTCACAGTTGGAAAGGTATTTTGTAAAAACACACGTTCGGGTTGTTTGGTTTAAAAATGTGGCCGGGGTGGTGGGGGGCACCCAGTTGGCTCAGTCAGTGGAGCCTGCGACTCTTGATCTCGGGGTTGTTGGTTCGAGCCCCATGTTGGGGGTAGAGATTACTTAAAAAAACAACAAAAACAGTGGCCTGGGATGCTGCCAAGCAATGCTCTTCTGCAACCCAGTGGCAAGGACTTTGGATAACCCATCTCTGGTTTGTTCTGTTTCTCCTGCACTTTAGGGTCTCCATTTCCCATAACATGCAAAAGAAGCTAGTCTGCATTTGGAAGTGCTTACACCGGGACACAAGCCTGGGAGCCCCCACAGCCCCTCCCCACCCCTCCACCCCGTCTGCGAGCCACCATCAAGCTTTAATGCCTCGACTCCCTAAAGCTCTCCCAGATCTACCTTCTCTCCATCCCCACAGCCGCCGTGCCTCAGCCGGAGCCCCCAGCCTCTCACCTGGACCATCACACTCGCCTCCCCACCAGTCTGGGCTCTCTCCTCTCCAACACATGTCGGCTGCCCAGAGCCATCTTCCTGAAGCACGGGTCTGGCCAGACACTCCCCTGCTCCCCTGCTCCAGATCCATCTGGAGCCCCTCACTGTCTACTGGAGAAAGTCTAAGTGTCTGCCGAGGACTATAAGGCCTCGCCTGGGCCTGGCCCTACCAATGGCCCTACCATTGCCCTGGCCTCATTTCCCACCCCACCCCGAGTTCATCTCCCCACCCCCCAAAATGTTCATCACTCCTGTAACCTTTTGTGTGCACTGACATCCCTGTCCGTACCCTTGCCAGACATGCTCTCCCCCTTTCTCTTGCTGCACAACCTACTAACTCCTCTGTGAGCTTCCCTGACCACCCCTACTGTGGGGCTTACCGCTCTGCGTTACCGTCACTCGCGCGGTCTGCGACCCACCACACTGAAGCCCCTGACGGCAGCAGCTCTGTCCCAATCCCCTCTGTATCCTGAGTGTCCGGCACAGCGCTACAGATCGTGACAGGTACTCGAAAAGAAAGTGATTCAATGAACTAAATCAATATTTTTTTTAAATACTAAAGAGAAGAAAACCTTACTAAATTTGGACAAAATTACTTTTCAGGTGTGAAAGTGATAACGTAAAAAAAAAACATCAGAAGATGTAGAAACTCCCGACTGTAGTAGATCAGTAAAGGGGGGTCTCACCGAGTGGCTGTAAAAGTTAGAGATCAATGTGTTTGGGAGGGCGTTTTCCTCCCCATTTTGATCTTTTTCCTGAAAATGACCTCTTGCCTACATCTATTTGACATGTGGAGGAGACTCAGTTTAAAATAGTTCTCTTGGTTTTACTATGAGGCTGATCATTTTTCCATTTTCAGGTTGTGCTTGTTTCTCACAAACGGACAAAAATTCATCAACGTAAAGATACCAAAGCCCTTTGCACCTTTCAGTTCCAGTTGTTGTTGGAAATTGAGAGCATCTGAAAGTACTGCAATCAGTAAATGTATTACTGTAATGGTACTTTAAATTTAACATGCCAAACACAGTAACTCTGTAAGCAAATTAACTTGATACGCTTTTAGAAACCACACTAATCCCCCCAAACTGTCCCTTCACAGCTACTTTTTTATGTTTAATTCTTGTAACTCCTTATTCTTGTCCCCCTGCCTCTTCCTGTTCTCTAGAAGTAAGAACACCTATCCAAATGCCAACTACCTTCCCGTCTTACCAGGCTGGGCCCAGGCCCCTTAAGACCAAGGCTCACCCTGAAAGGAGTTCGGCCCCAGGAAAGGACCGGCCACTGGGCCGCCCCGGACAGCACGCCAGGCAGCACCCACCTGTAGCCCACCTTGCGGGCATAGTGCAGGCAGTTTTCCTTCACGTGGGTCTGGAAGTAGGCAGAGCGACAGAGGGCCCCGCACTCCGGGCAGCAGTAGGGCGACTTGTGGGCGTGGATCCGCTGGTGGGCGCAGAAGCTACACTGGTTGGGCAGCAGCATCTGGCACACCTGGCACGTCTGGGAAAAAGCACCGAGAGAGCAGGTCACGCAGGCGCCCCAGGGGCCGCGAGCTCGCGGCTCTCCCACCGCAGCGGGCTGGCCTTCCCAGAACAGGGCTCAGGATAGCCACCCCCCAACCATGCTCTCGTCCGCCCTCCCAGGACACCCGGCACCCCCAGGCCTCGTCAAAAGCATTGATCCACCCAAGCAAGCTCTGCCTCTCACCTTATTCGTCAGAGACAGAACTGGTGCTATGTTTCCAAAGATCAGTCCTGCTTCTAGGACTGTGAGTGTTCCTTCCCTCAGGCTTAGCAGACCAGCTTTTCCTTTCCAGGGGCCAAAGGCACTTCTTCAAGTCTCAGACCCCACGCCACTGCCAGACCCACCAGGCCCTCCGCCCCCGCCCAGCAGAGGCAGATCCTGCTGGACGCCTCTAGTCCGGTGGCTCAGGGACTTCCGGAGCAGACCTGATGGGCCCTCAGAAGCCCCCAGGGCAGGTGGACTGAGTGGTCTTGCCAGTGTCCGTGCCCTCAGCCCTGCCTGCCCACTCGGGGCCGTGCCGAGCCACAGCTGACCACACGTGCCCACAGAAAAGGGCGGAGTGGGCAACAGCTCTCTGGCTCCCAGGCTCAGGAGAGGACCAGCGGGGAGAAGTCCTGCAGCCCGCAGCGCAGACAGCCCGGGGGGAGCAGCAGCCTGCGCGGGCACCTCCATCAGCACAGGCCCTTCTGAGTCCAAAGGGGCCCACTGTGCTCGCGCTTCCCTGCGGGGGCCACTGACCTGGGCCCAGACGAGTGGCTTAGAGGGACAAGTCGTTGGGGAGGACAGGAAAAGCAAAATCCAGAACATGGAGCCTCTACAGGACACAGAGCCCCGTTTTTTCAACAAATAGATTTCAAGGGAAAAACAGAGAGAAAAAGGAAACTTATAGATTAAAAGAAGTTCAAGAGAAATTTTCACATGGCAATGTATAGCACTTATTTGGACCCTGATTCAAGCAAGCCAACTGTAAAGAGAGATGAGACAATCAGAGATATTTGAACACCAACTTGATAATGATATTGGGACATTTGACACTTAGTATTAAGGTCTGATAATAAGAAGAAATTATCATGATTATTAGTTTTGAGATGTGATGATACTATATCCATGTTTTTTGTGAGGAAAACCTCATATTTTATAGCTACATACTGAACTATTACAGATACAGTGATGCTGGGATTTGTTTAGAAATAATCCATGAGCTGGGAGGGATGGGTGAGAAAATACATAAAACGAGATGGGCCAGGCGTTGGCAATTGTTAAGGGAGGGTTTGTTATACCTTTCTGTCCACTTTTACATATGTTTGGGACATTCCATAATAAAAAGCCTTTTTTTAAATATATTACTTTGGGTGCACAACAGTAAGTAAGAAAGGAGGGAGGATGACCCTCCCCACACACACACAGGCACACCTACACATATTTGCAAAACAGGAGCCATGCAGAGATAAACCACAAGTGAACAGAAATGGTCACTTATGGGGCAGGAGGGAACCGAGTGAAAGCAACAGGGATTTCCAAGACTTCAGGGAGGACCTTATCATGTAGTTTTAAGCTTGGAATCACATAAATGTTTTACATAGGTTTTTTTGTTGTTTGTTGTTTTTGTTTTTTAATTCCAACACCTGTCACCAGGTCCAAGGTTTTGTTTTTAAGATTTATTTATTTGAGAAGGAGGTGGGGGGGGAGGGCGGAAGGAGAGAGGAAGCAGACTCCACGCTCAGCGTGGAGCCCTGTGCACGGTTCAATCCCACAACCCTGAGATCATGACCGGAGCTGAAACCAAGAGTCGGAGGTTTAACTGACTGAGTCACCCAGGCACCCCGTGGGCCCCAGGTTTTAAAACTAGATAAAACTGGGACGCCTGGGTGGCACAGTCGGTTAAGTGCCCAACTATTGGTTTCGGCTCGGGTCGTGATCTCGGGGCTGTGAGATCAAGCCCCGAACAGGGCTCAGAGCTCTGTTTAAGATTCTCTCTTTCCCTCTCCCTCTGTCCCTCCCCCCCAGCACACGTGAAGGCATGCACATGCATGCACACTCTCGCTCTCTTTCTCTCTCAAATAAATAAATCTTAAAAATATATATATATAATTAAACTAGAAAAACAAAAACATTCCCTAAAAATTGAGAAACAGAAACTAAATAACCTAACAAGGTATCAAGTTGGTGACATAACCATATAGGAAAAAGACTTGTTCCCAGTGACCTTTAAAATGCAGTATTTTGACTTATACATCCTTAATGGGATCTAAGAGCAGAAAGAACTGCAAATATACCCTCGACTTTATGTAGTTGTCCTAATGTTAAAAATAATATTGGTATTGATATTTCAAAATTTGTGTGTATATATGTATGTGTGGTAGGAAAATCTTAGCAACCAAGATTTTCAGCATAAAATCAGTTACATAAAAACTCCATAATTTTACATTTGAATACCAGTATAAACTCATGATTTTTCTTCCCCTTTTTTTTTAAAGTAGGCTCCATGCCTAACGTGGGGCTCAAACTCACAAACCCAAGATTACATGCTCCACCCCCTTTCTTCTTTTTAAAAATGTATACTTCTGGGGCGCCTGGGTGGCTCAGTTGGTTAAGCGTCTGCCTTCAGCTCAGCTCATGATCTCAGGGTCCTGGGATCGAGCCCCGTGTCGTCTCCCTGCTCAGCAAGGGAGTCCGCTTCTCTCTCTCTGTCCCCCTGCTTGTGCTCTCTCTCGCTCACTTGTTCTCTCTCTCAAATAAGTAAATAAAATCTTTTTTAAAAAAATACATATACTTCTTGGGGCACCTGGCTGGCTCAGTCAGAAGAGCATGCAACTCTTGATCTCAGGGTCATGATTTTGAGCCCCACACTGAGTGTAGAGATTACTTAAATAAATAAAACTTTTTCAATAAATAAATAAATACAATAAAAACACATACTTCTCAGCTCTGGCCACGGCAAAGGCCTAGTACCAGATATACCCAGCAAGCATCTCTGGTACCCAGAATGTGACGTCTAAATACCATTCCTCACTGCAAGAAACCTGGCTCTTGAGAAGGATGGCCGATTCCACATTTAGCACAAGAAATGTGCCCAGGACATCCTGTTGGGACTGAAAGTAGGGAAGCTTCTTAGGCTTCATGAGTTCATGTCCACAGGACGTAGGAGCCAGCCTGACAGAGCTCCACGACCAAAGATGAAACAGCCCGACCATGGAAAAGCGACTGACCCCAACATACCAAACATGTGAAAACCAAAGAGTTCATTGTAAGAGCAACAGAGGAGGCCACCTCACGCCCATTAGGGTGCCTACCACCGGAGGCAAGCAAACAGACGGACAAAACAGAAAATGACAGGTGTTGGCGCAGATGTGGAGAAACTGGAACCCTTGTGCACTGTTGGCAGGAATGTGAAATGGTGCAACCGCTGTGGAAAACAGTATTGGGGGGGTTCCTCAAAAAATTAAAAATAGAGTTACCATACGATCCAACCATTCCACTTCTGTGTACATACCTGAAAGAATTGAAAGCAGGATCTCCAAAAGATATTTGTACACCGTGTTCATAGCAGCATTATTCAAGCAATACCCAAGAGGTGGAAGCAACCCTAGTGTCCATCAACGGATGAGTAGATAAACAAAATGTGGTACAAACATGCAACGGAACATTATTCAGCCTTGAAAAGGGAGGAGGGACACCTGGGTGGCTCAGTCGGTTAAGCCTCTGCCTTCGGCTCAGGTCATGATTCCAGGGTCCTGGGATCGAGTCCCACATCGGGCTCCTTGCTCAGCAAGGAGCCTGCTTCTCCC